GTGTTGTTAAACGAGGTGAACAAACTGTCGATGCTGCGTGCTTTGGAAAGCGGACAATACCTCAATATGGGATTTCGTTCATGGGTTCTGTACGAGTATCCGCTATTGCAACAGACGACTAAACATTCATGGGCTATTAAAACGGCTACTCAGCTCGAGAAGCTGCGGTATCTTATCTTTGCTCTGCAAACAGGTCGGAAGAATATCATGTCACAGAATGTGAGCCAATTCAGTCACTGCAAATTGAGCAACGTGAAACTCTATCTGAATTCGGAATGTTATCCATACGATGATATGAATCTGGATTTCGATAAAAACAAATGGTCGAGTCTGTATGCTGCGTATTCGCGGTCCCGGAAGGGCTATTTCGGAAACGAGGTTCTTATGCCCGGTCTCACTACCAACAATTTTCTAGAACAAGGACCGTTTGTCATTATCGATTGCTCCCGACAAAACGAGTCAGTCAAGAGCGCGACTGTGGACGTGAGATTGGAATTTGAGTGTAAGGAGAATGTGCCAGTGAATACCACTGCGTACTGTCTCATCATACATGATCGTGTGGTTCAGTACAATCCGCTGACCAGCGTCGTGCGCAAAATTCCCTAAGTACTACATTTTGGACACAATGGTTTCCCCTCTTTCCAATACAGTTTAGAGGGGATGAAACGATTTAAAATCTACTCTGCATCAAGAGCAACCGCAGTATTCCTCCTTCTCTCGACGTATTCAATCATGTCCATACCGACGTTTGTGGACCTGCAAGGCTTCATCGTCAGCGGTAACTTTGTTGTGAAGGAATTTGCCGCTCTCCGAGAGGGACGCGTTCTCTCTCACTACATTTTCACATGTCCCGTACCATGGAGGCTTCTCACCAAAGCGGAGCACCATCAGGCATCCTGGTTGATTGCAAATCGTCATGGAGTACGATGGGAAGACGGAATGATTCCATACAGCAGGGCTAGAAGTCTGATTACAACGGCTGTGGTCGGCATGGAAGATGATGACGATCTTGAGACACCGTTTCTCGTCTACGTCAAGGGACACGAAAAACGAATGGCTGAAGGATATGCTCTTGAATGACGCGAGAGGAGATGTCTATATTGAAAATATTGACTACGAGGACATACCATCTCTAAATAAATTGGATGTTACACATACTTTTCACTGCCAGAAACATGTAACAAATTGCGCTTTACAAAATGTTTTTAAAATTTACAAGTGGTGGTCCAACCAT